ATTTATTTGGCTCGTGGGGAGACACGGCTGCTAATTGCTGCTGCTGGTCGCAGCCCCGGGGACCGGCAGCCAGGAGAAGGACGCGGCACAGCCCGAATCGATCGGGCGGCGATGAAGGGGCACGGTCGCTCGTGGCACGGCGGGGCAGAAAACCATCACGCGAGGCACTGAGAAACACGGGCAGAAATGCGCCACGTCCAGCAGGACCTTCACTGAGGGACCCCAGAGCAAAACCCATCGCGTGCCGGGGCTCTGCAGGGGCTGCCCAGCAAAAACACAACCCTCCCTGAGCCCGCTTTCACATCTTAAAAATATTTCTTACAGGTGTTATTAAAGCGAAAACCCGGTTCTTGCCCAAATTGCTACAACAGCTCCAAGCCATCCCTTGGACACAGCCCATGTATGAGATGAGAATCAGGCTGGCCTTAAAACACCAGGGACTTGGTTATATGGGTCATCTCAGTCATCGAGGCTCAGGGAAAAAAAAAATATAGAATCATAGAATCGTAGGTTGGAAAAGGCCCCTAAGATCATCAAGTCCAACCATCAACCCACCCCCACCATGCCTGCTAAACCATGTCCCCAAGTGCCACATCCCCACGGTGTTTGAACCCCTCCAGGGATGGGGACCCCCCCACTGCCCCGGGCAGCCTGCCCAACGCCTGGTGCCTGCTCTCACTGCCTGCAGCACGTGAGCAAACGGAGACCTTCAGCTCCATCACTGGCTGGGTACCAGGGTCATCGGCAGTCGTTTCCCTCTGCCCTTCGGTGCGGTCTCCTACAAACACTCATTAATTCCCCGACGTCCCCGTTAGCCGGTCTGTGATGAGCACTTAACGCAAGAGCGATTTCTATCTCATCGGCCCCTTTCTAATTAGGGGACGTTACGCCAACTCCCTAGCCATGTGGCGCAGGGTTCGTTTTCCCTTCAGTGACCGATACCTGCCGGTGTGATTTGAACCTCCATCAGGGCCAGTTTCAGGGGTGTCGGGGCAGGGATGGGTGGAATCACAAAATCACAGCATGGTCGGGGTTGGAAGGGACCTCTGTGGGTCACCCCTCCCACCCCCTGCCCAAGCAGGGTCACCCAGAGCAGGCTGCACAGCACCGCGGCCAGGCGGGGC